AAAAAAAAAAAGAAAGAAAAAGTCTTCAAGCCTGTAGAGCTTAACGGTGCGTCAGGTCAAAAAAAAAAAAGACCTGACGCAATTGCTGTCTCTTTTCATATCAGTTCAGATGAAATTGCCTCAGTCCCGCACCGGCTGCCCCGGTTCCTAAATTCCTCTCGGGAAATGCGGCCGTCCTCGAGCAGCCCGGGGTGCCGCTGCCTCCGGGCGCCGACCTGGCTCGGCTGCCAGGGACCGGCTCCGCTCCTCCAGGTGGATTCGGCACCTTCACGGCGCGCCGGGATGCTCGGCGAGGCAGGGCGAGCGCGGCGCTGCCGAACTGTCCTGGGGGGAGCGGAGCGGGGATTCCTGCGCGGCACAGGAGCCTCCGCAGGCACTGGAGCCGCTTCCAGCGTCACCGAATGCGCGCCTCGCCCGCCCGCCTGTCCGCGGGCACCCGCGCCCGAGCGCCGCGGGCCGCGCGGGGCCGCGCGGGGCCGAGCGGGGCCGAGCGGGGCCGAGCGGGGCCGCGGGCCGCGCTTTGGGCAGGCTCGCAGCGCCCTCTGTGGGCGGCGGGCGGCGCCGTCGCCGCGCCCGGCCCGCGGCTCCGCTGGGCTGGGGCGCAGAGCCCGAGCCTGCCCGCCTTTAACTCGGCCAGAAAGCCAGCTGCGTCCTCCGGAGTGCGCTTACAGTCCTGATTACCCTCCGGAGAGCGATAATTCCCAGTAGTTATCTGGTTAGCAGTTTTTCTCTGGAAGCCTCAGCATGTCTAGAGCTGACTCTGTTGCAGAACTGGATTTCCCCCCCGCCCCCCCACCCCCCCACCCCATCTGCTTATTTGAATTTCCCACCTCTCCCCCCCGCCAGTAACGCTAACAATTTTGACGCTTCCCTCCCCAAGCAGCTGAGGGTGTTACCGGGAGCCGGGGACGATGAATGAAACCCCGCGGTGTGAGCACCGTTCCGTCTTTCCCCACCGCGCCCGGAGCATTTTCCGGGGATGGGCTGAAGCACCGGGCTCCTGTCCCCGGGGCGGGCTGGGAGCCGCATGCCGACTGCTGGACGAGCGCGCCCTGGGCTGCGGGCTGCCTGCTCGGACAGAGCGTACTTTCGCCACTCCCAAAGTTTTTGGACAGGAAGGAGTCTCCCCCTTAAAAAAGGGAAAACCGAAAAGTCCCGAGAGCAGGTGAGAAATGCCGCTCCCAAAGGCCGCTGCCTCAGCCTATTCGGCACCTGGGGGAGCAGGGTGATCGCCTTTCCCTCCCCGGAGAGCCACAGTGAGGTGGCCATTTCTCCTGCAGGAAGTTTCAGAGAGGCAGGACGTGTACGGCTGGTCATCGCGCTACCGGCACGGAGCCCTCGGAGGCTGTCCGGGTGCGGAGCCCGGGCCGGGCGGAACGCCGCCGTGCCGCCCCCACCCGCTCCCGCAGCCGGAGCCCCTGCGTCGGGGCTGGGAAGGAGCGGGAGCTTCTCAGTCCCGAGGTTTCGCTTGTCACGTGAACCGTGCTAGGAATGATCGTTTACGTCACCCTGGCAGGAAAATAATTTGTAGTTTTTCTGTCATATTTTCATTGAGAACCACCCCAGCAGATGTATACCAGAGTGCAGGGAAGAAGCTTAAGCTAAACGATTTGCGGTAATTAGGAATGCTTAGAGCTGATAAGAGTAAATTGGAAAGTACTAGCTTCCTACCTTTTTTTTTTTTTTTTTTTTTTTTTTTTTAATGATGGCGCTACCCTAACTTGATAAATAAAGTCTCATTGAATCGAATGGGAACTAAAAGGAGTAATATGCTTCCTTTAGCACGACAACCGAGTGCCAAGATACATTTTCGTGCTACTTAAAAGGCTGCCAGAAAACACTTTTTTTATACGTTTGCATAATCCTCCATCCTCCCCCAGCAGGAAAATGTCTTGTTTTTGTTATTATTTACTTAGCAGTAACAGAAGAATGGCAGAAATCTGTGAAGAAAGAACGGTGAAAAGTTGATATAATCTCGAGTTCAGCAAACTCAGAAATTCGCAGTTGCCAAACAGATTAAAAGCAAACGGCAGTTTTACGGGGATTTGGCTTTGTCACAGAGAGGTAGTTATGAAACACGCTGATTGGTATGCATGCCTCTTTTTTTTTTTTTTTTTTTTTTTTGTTTTATTCGGAAAAAAGGGCCTATTTTTAACAAGGTAAAATAATAATAATAAAAAAAAAGACACAGAGAAAGGTAAGAAAAAAATTAGTAGGGTGTGTGTGCTCAAACTGGCTCGTTCCTACGATTGTTATCATTCCCGGCTCCTGTCATCCCTTCTTGCTGATTTGGTTGAGTTTTTGATGCACTCTCTGAAACTGGAGCGGCCCCGAAGCCTCCGCCGACATCAGCGACCGGCGGAGCTGGGGCGGGGGCGCGGGGCGAGCTGAGGCTGCCCCCGCCCCCGGCAGCCCCGCACCAGCCCTGCTCATCTCGGGGCTCGTTCGATCTCCGGCTAACTTTCATGGCATGACCGTATTTTCCCCAGCCCTTTTTCCCCCGCTTTTTTTTCTTCTTTTTATTTTTTTTTAAATTTTTTTTTTCCATAGGCGCCGATCAATTATTCACAAGCACATTTATCTCCCCTGCAATATGGAGAATTCATATTCATATCTCTGTTTTAGTGGCCTGACACAGATTAATGTAATATACGCCGCGGCTCCGAGCGCCAGCCCCGCTCTATGAATCATGCACTATAAAGTTTCAATCGTCCTTGTAGATGAGACTATTACAAAGAGCGCGGAGCGGCGGGGGCGGGGAGGCGGGGGCCGGCAGCAGCGGTGGCTCTGTGCCTCGGCCGGCCATCGGCCCCCTGTTAAACAGGCTCGTATTGAAACCACCCGGCGGCTGGCGGGGGACAATGCGGGCCCGGCATTAGTTCTGCCCGGCGGGGCTCCCCTGGCGCGGGTCCCACCGCCGGCCGGCCCCGGGGAAGGGGCTGCGGGGCCCTGCCTCGTCCCCGTCCCCATCAGCCCACTAGGCAGGGGCGGGAAGAGCCGTGCTTGGCCCCGGGGGAGAGGCGGGCTGCCGGTGTCCGCCCCGAGGGATGCGCACCCTGGGGCGGGAATGGGGCTCAGGCTGCTCCGGGGTGCGCCCTGAGGTGGAGCAACCGGACTGTGTCGGGGGAGGGAATGCGATTAAGGGAGGCTCCATCACCTGGAGATGCTATTGCGGTATGGGTTCTTTTTGTTTGTTTTGTTTTTATTTTTATTTTTTAATTTCCTAATGTCCTTAAAAGGTGAGATGTAAAGAATAGCCGGGGGTGACAGAAGCACACAGGCAGCACAGGAAAAGGGCTGGTGAGTTGTAAGTGCCCTGTGAAAGACAGCATCGAACATGGGCTTCAGCACATGCCTTCCATTCCCAGATTACTGCCTCAATCCCGGGGTGAAGCTCCCCTGCCATCTTGGTGACCTTTGTGCATCCAGGTGGACGGAGGGGAGCCAACCACTGGTCCCAAAACCAAGCTGCCAGCCACAGATCAGGAACAACCATGTCTGGAAAAGCTGTGGCAGGTCCCTTCTGGCCTGTGGGGAGCTGGTGGCAGCCCCATGGAGCTGTGCCATGCAAGACCACAGGTCCCCCTCTGTCAGGAAGGGCCATGGTGATGGCCAGCAGGGCCTGAGCCCACCACTGGCTTTGTGGGGGCTATGGT